GGAAATAAATCCTTGCACTTTTAAAGCCATTTTCCGTGAAATGTAATCTCACCTGATTCATTCAGCGTAATTCCTAAATACATCAAATCTAAATTAAACCGCCTTTAGATTTTATGTTTTCTTCTTTGAAAACTAACATAGCTTGAAGTAAAAACGAAGAATTCAAGGTTCAGGTGATGTAAAAATAAAGATCAAAGCAAAGTTGCCTCCAAGAAAGTATAAATAATGTACATGCATTCATGTGTCTGACAAAAACACACTTAGGTTACAATCCACCCTCAGGTCTCACACCCCATATACATAAATAAAATGGATTCATTTTTCATGAACAAATCGCGCAAGGAATCAACTTGGGCACTGGTTGCAGTAAAGTCTGATATCTTACGGTCTGAGTTTTTCACTTTTCGCACGCCGTATTTTGATCGTGTCGCGCTGAGGTCGACGAGTCTCACCCGGATTTAGCCACATTTTCCAAAGCCACCCCACACGAGTCTACCAGAAATATCGGAAAACCGTTCGTCACCGAGGGTGGATGATGTTGCTGGGCAGAGTTTCACGCGCGCACTGAATCGGAGGCATCGCCGTTCGAGTTCGTCAGCACCAGCATCCCGCCGATTGTCTGTGTCATCCGGCGTATCGGCGGGTTGCCGCTTCCCCAGCTACACAAGACAGCCATTACGCCCATGATGCGACCTATCTGCCCATCTAGCTGATAAACATACCGCATTCCCACCACCGGACGAATAAGAACGTAGGCAACCCTTTTATCAAGAACAGGTTTTAAGAGGACCAGGGATTAAATAAATCAGGAGTTTATCCGCACACCCGGTAGGTGTGGGTATGTGTGGAAACCTATGTTTATGCCGATATTGAATATCTGGATATTCAGTGGGACACACCGTAATCGGATCATCATAGTCCATCGGTCCGCATCAATCAACGGATTAAAACGGGAGACTGGGTAAAATGTGTTTACAAGGGTATGAGTGCCGTCCTGCATTCTGATTCGTTTGCGTTCGCACCGCCATTGTTTTATTTATGCATGCGGGTAAGAACATCTATATCGCTTCTTTCTCTATCTGGGTAACTAGGTAAGTACTCAAACCTGTTCGTGGCGTGGAAGCGACTAGAAGAATTATGTCACGCGACGAGATGAAATAAGCTTTTAGACAATTTTGACAATGGGCGGTATTCAATTCACAACGCTCTGGTCGCACACAATTGCACACGCATCTATTGTTGACATTAAGTGTTAACATTTACCAGCAAATGGCGACACCGCAACACCAACCGCACGAATGGCGAATGGCGTCTCGTGACGTTGGTTGCCCACAACCCTAGATTCGAGACGTAGGTGGGAGTCCTTTAAATGTCATCAGCGATACTGATTGTAGACGAAAACTAACTTAACCATACTAATAATTTGGTAATATTAATTCATAACTGAAAACAGTCGGTATAAACAACTGTTGAATTCGATTGGGGTTACACCTCACACTCGATTGCAGCCCGAGAGTTATTTATAAATTCCACCCGGTTGGGTGTACCCTATTCATGCATTCTCTGGATGACAGTTGACAGGTTTGTGTGAATACACAATACCAACTAGGACAATATACATTTAAAACAATAGTCATACCCTGCGGTAGAAGAAAAAAATGTTTGCACTAACCTCGAATTACTGGAAGCGACCGAATTGTTTGATCTCGATCTGCGACTCTTCAGGCTGTCGCCCCGATTGACAACGCCTTTGCCAGTGATGGAAAAGTGCCGCAATCGGTAATACTCCTCTTCGACGCCGGTGTTGGGCATTGAAGCGACCCGGGAGCGCTGCTGTGGAAGACATAGGTAGTTGGGACGGCCCGAGGACCTTCCCGGCGTCTTGACGGATTGCGATCGGTTGTGATGTGGGCTGCCATACCTGCGGTCACGAACACACAAACAAAACATTTTTTATTCACCAGGAAGACAACTCGCGACCGATTGAAGTCGTCGACTGGGTGATATGATATTGCGACTCGGTGCGAATCACCTCATCATCAAAGTATTTATTTTAGGATTAAGCCGAATAAGAAATCGAGGAAATGAAATGAAATGAAAGAAATGCGCACGAATTTAGAGAAATAAAGATTAAAGATTTCACCGGGGATAAAAATATCCATGGATGAATGAACTCTACGTTTGTCTTTTTTTTAAGTCATGAATAAAAAAATTACCTCATTTCAAAATCGTGGATTTCCTCCAGCGTTAAATTGTTTGCAACGTCCAGTAATTGCTTGACGCTATCTTCTTTCTGTTTCTTGCTGGTTTTGCTATGAACCTCGACGTTGGAGACAAATTCACTGCCGTTTTTCAACAGTATTGTAGCAACGTTTGCATTGTCTACACTCAGGGAAGGTTGTTGCACCACAATTGTCGCCTGTGGTACTTTGCGTCCACCGCCACCACCGCTGACCACATGCATAGATGAATTCTCCATTGGGTTCGTCGTAACATTAATCGGCGATCCGCCGACTGCGTCCAGCTGCGCCCCGACTTCTCGTAAACATTTATTGAGGCATACACTGCCTCTCTTTTCCAATACGATAGCCGGCACAAAAAGGCAATCGTCATCCGCTGAGGGTTCATTGAAGAAATCAACGCGTAAATCTGGCAACGGTGGAGTTTCACGCGATTCTCGTGAATCTCTTGATTTTTCTTTGTATTTTGCAATGTGCTGTTCGTCGTAGACGAATTTGTCAGTTTTGAATTTGTTGGGTGAGTGGTGGTGTTTGCGGGTGGAACGCTTACGCCTTGGAGAGGTGGACTTTGGAAGGGATTCAGGCGGAGGCGGAGTTTGATCACTAGCAAGTTCTATTTTGTCTAAGTCTCCTTGTGCTGCTTTGTAACTGTTTCGACGACGGCCTTCTACTCTCATTGCATCTAATTGCTCCTCCATCAGAGAGTCAACTGTTTTTTGTGCGCTTGGAGCATCACCAGTGATGTCTGAGTTCGTGGGTGTTCGGTTTTCTCCATCGGAGGGTACAAGCTGCCCGGTGGGCGAAGTCATATCAAAGGTGAATTTTGTCTCCGCCAACTTGGCCGTCGGAGGCGTGTTTTGTTTCGCCGTGGGTGGAGTTTTAGGTGATACCAGTGTAGGTTGCATAACCTCAACTGCATGTTGTGATGTCGTTGCTGGCTCGCTAGCGTAGATATCAAGAGATTCGTTCATGTCCAAACTATCTTCGGTAATCTCACCGTCGGTGGCCGTCATGGTTGTCACAATGGTATTAGCACTATCTGTGCTAGTGTTAATCGTGTTTTCCGATGTTGTGCTGGATCCCATGACCACCACCTTAGGCACGCCCTGCCCAGTTTGATGCGAGCCGCCTCCGCCTCCGGTGCTGGCATTACTCTTGTTGCTCTTGGTGGTGCCGCGTCCCGTTTTGAAATTCAGCCGCCGCAGCGCCGACGTGGCAGTGCTGATGAGGTCCTCGGAGGGTCGGGGAGATTTTGGGCCCGACTGCGAGTTCACTGTCATCCTGGATGTTGGTTGCTGCTGGTTGTGGTGGTGCTGGTGTTGGTGCTGAGATTGGTGCTGTTTATGATGGTTATGTTTGGGACTGTTTGGGTTGCCTACGCCAGCTGCAATCTACAACAGGAGAACAACAAATGTAATCATCTAATGTTTCACAATAAATTATTCTCCCTGAGGCGCATGGTAAACACACTACAATCAAAGACCACAGTTTAATATAACTTTAGTTTATTAACTTTACGCCATTACTGCCATTAACGCTGTTTACGTATAATTATAATTAATAGCAGTTTTCATTGTTTTCGGCAGTGAGTGGTGATTGGAGTGACGGCACCAAGAACAACAAATCTCTACTGCGCATTTTGTCTTGAAGTGTGTTGTGTGCCAGATAAGAAATTCGTTTTCTTCAATGTCAAAAACGTCAAATATTTATTTTTCCGCTGTTTCTATCTGTAATATAATATATTCGGGATAAAATAAATAAAATATGAAATTTGTGGGAATTTACAAGAAATCCCTTCAGTAAAGATGTTGAAACCCGTGAAATAAGTCGGTCTGAAGCAGTGATTTCCGTATTATTTCAGAACCAAGCTCTTGGATGTTTACGGTGTGCTGGTTTCTGGTATCATTGTCCTTCGCTGGCCTTTGTGCACCCTTCGAAACACCGAAAAGCATGGCGTCTACGCACGCATACACAAGACAGAATAAAAACAGGAAACGAACAAAGAAAATAAGGAAAAGACGGAAATAAGCACCGTGTCCGAATTCGCTCGGCACCAATTTTTCACATGTGCGCTCATTGTTTGACATATACATTCGAGTACAAAGAAGTACCAAAAGTAAGCAACACATAAAGTCACAACTTGAAGTGTTTGACATTTTTAAGACTCACGAAACACCAAAACCAGGCCCAATAATTTAGTTATGCAAATCAGCGCATAAAAGTTTAAATTATCACAAATCTTTTTCACATATACTTTATGATTAGACCAACGTAAACTCAGCATAATTTAAATTTAAAACTTTTCATTAATCTCTGTTCGTGCTTTCGCTGCACGCTCATTTCAAGAGCAAATATCTGCGTTGGTAAATTTAAGCAAAGAAAGTAAATTCTAATTTTACGCGCCCACGTCGAGCCTCGCATGAAAATAAATCTCGACTTGTACGATTTGCTTTTCGTTACGTTTCGGTCTCTGTGAAGTGAAATGGAAAAAAATGCGAGTGCGTCGTGCGATTGTAATTCACGCGCGACACGCTGTTTACAAACGCTGCGGATTTAAATTTCCATAATTATTTATAAACACGCTCGGCGCGACGCGTGCTACGCGCTGTAATCGGTGCGAGGTACATAAATAAACGCCACGGTGAGGTGGAAGTGAGCGTAAGAACAATGCATGCAGGAGGTCACGCTTCTAGTTCCTCACTTTTATATCAGTGCGTTAGTTGGATCGCAGAAGACGTGTTTAGTGCAGTGTAGTGCCATCTGGTGGTTTACTGTGGAAATATTTATTTATTTACACAGCAAGGACGTTGATAACCGAGGTAAATAAATATTTTAAATTTTATCCGAAGGAAAGTTAAATAAAATTGACATTAAACTAACATTTAACTGCCTAGGTAATAAACCTGCATTTTAATTGAAGTTTTATAAGAATTTCGAGCCATGCGTGACGATATTCAGTAAATTTAAACTAAAAATTCAATTTTTATATGTGCATGTATGTAAATTCATGAAAAACTTTTATATGCAGTTCCGTTTAGAAACTATTAGATTATTGCACAAAGAAAACTTCCGAAACAATGCACAGCGCATATTTCCGACATAAATTTTCATAAAATTTAATATTTCACATACTACGAGTACGGTTACGTGTAAATTGATGCAACCTTTAATAATTAAACCTGATTTAAATAGAATGTATCCCTTTTGATTATTGTTAAATTTTCCCAGATGGCACAAAGTGATAGAACGTATAATATGCGTTCCCCTTCTGCGCCCTAGTCGCGATCAATTTTCATTGCGCACAGCTTGCTCCTCGTGCGTGCAATATGTTTATATTACGACTGAATTTCACCAGTAAACGCAAACGTAAACGCGTGCAAGTTGTACTCTTGTGAGGGCTGCCAGCGGGCGAAATTGATGTTAAGTGTTTCGCACGTTTATCGCGCAGGGTCGACACCGTCAACGCACTCAATTAACGTGTAACTAACTGTAACTAACTCAACGACACCATGGTAATATTAAGCTGTAGGCATAACATTAACTTGAATAAATAAACAAATTGTTTTGGTGGAGGCGCCGGGCACCACAAAGATAAAATCAATAGAAAATACAAACTTTAAGGTTAATTTAAATTGAATTTATAAATTATTAAATGTAATGAATAATAATTAATAATGTAAATTGCATATAAAGCTTTTGTAGTTTAAAATCTTTAGAAATCCAAAGTTCAACGTTTGTCAAGTTTCGTTTATATATAATTCACGTCCTGAGACTTGCACCATTCAATTGTCAAGTTGACCTCAACTATACAAGTTTTAATTTTATAACACCAAGCCAAAATATTGAATAGAAGCAGTGTTGTCATGTTGCTATACGCAATAACGTCAGAATAGACGAAAACATACTCCATTCATTTTTTATATCGATTGAATATTATCGCAAATCGCAAGATACACACAAAAAACGGTGATGGCACAAAGCGGACGATAATAAGAGATAATAAGGGTAACGACGTGAATGTAAATGTGAAACGAGCATGAAACCAGCATAGACAAAGCTGCCAATCGCGTAATTTGATGAAACGCTTGTGGGGGATGTGCAACAAATATGAGAACGGGAATTATTTACGGGGGTGTAGAAATGAAATGTTGAACGCGTTTGTGCCGAGGTAATTCGTTTCGTGGTGACAGCCTAACGCCACGGACACTGTTCTATTAAATCCATGTTCAAACGTCCGTCAAAATTGCTTTTGGAATATTTTTGATGTAAAAGGTGTTATTACAGCACAAATTGGTTTAATTAGCGTTTAATTTGTTCAAATTTTGATCAAATAATTAAAGCATGTTTATGAAATGCGTATAATTAATATTCCAGCGTGATATTTGCATAATTATGCATAAATATGCAAATAATGTGTTGAAATTTATTATTTTTCAAGTATTATGCTGTTTATCATGTTAGGGGCATCAATAAACTGCACGTGACATCAAATAAATTGTTTACCACTTTGATTCAAATTGAAAATCTATTATTCAGCCACGATTATAATTGCTTTATCGGCGTATCTAATCAAAAACAATTCAATTCGTTGTGTGCGATACTGCGTTGTTTCCAATTCGTCGATTTTGGTGCAAATATCAATACGATTCATTTCGTTTTGAAATTACCTTTTCCGGGACAAATTATAGCAGAATAATAATTCTCGAAACAATTGAAGCGGTAAAACTGGCGCGCATTGTTTGCAACTGTGTCCGCGAAGTCCGTTGCGATGCGTCGGCCCAGAATTAATTAGAAACTCGAGCGGAAAGCTCTCGCCCACACGAAAGGAACGCATTCCGACGACAATACTCGTTGCAATTAATTAAAACAATTTAAATGAGGACGGCTACACGACAAGCGCGTCCAATCCTTTCCAGGGGCGATGTTTTCGCATCGTAAAACAATTCAGGCGAGAGATTATGCGAATTGTAGGTGTATTGTTATTACGCAATTCTGTAAACAGGGTTTAAGCGTTTAATAACATTCGAATTGAGTGATGAGGGTGAACATGCCAGAGATTATCCCAAGGATAAAATGTTTTTTGTGTTAAAAATGTAAAAAACATAAAAACTTGTTGGTTGCATAATAAAACGCAGTTTTTCTTTCTCCAAGACGTCTATCATGTAAACATAAGATGCATATTCTTGCGCCTGACATTTTCAAGCATCCACTTGAATGGAAAAGCGGATATAACAAATATACAGCGTGGTTTTTTAATAAATAAAAAGTAAAGCCGCCGCAATATTTTTCTGACGCTCAGCGAAAATGGCAAATATCGGTTAAAGAAGCCTCGACGTTTATCTTCTACGCACTTCGATGTATTCCAATTATTATCCTGATAGCTCGCAGCATGCATATTGAGTGTTTTTGAGCGCACACATTTCCATCGCGAACAGCTCCCGAAGGGATGGTTATTTCGTGTGTGGGTGAATGGCTTTTTAAAATCATCTTGTTTATGTGTGCGTAGTCGTCCGTGCAAAGCGGGGTGTCAATTTGCATTGTGTGCGATTCCATTGTAAAAACCTATCGGACTAGGTAATTTATTTGGACAAAAAGCGTCCGCTTGACGAAAATATGGTCCACCAACACCGCGCGTGTGGTAAATTTCGTCGTAAATTTTAAACGACATGCCGACGTGGCAAACCGTTTGCTTGTAGGGTAAGCAGACACTTTTATTTGGTGAATATAACGCCCAGAGGTGATTACAAGCTTCGTTAATTTTGTAAACCTAACGAGAGAGCAAACGTGCTGATTAAATGATATTAATATGCGTGTAATATACATTAAATGTGTAATTGGTTGCATACTATGTAATTATAACCGCTATTAACGGTTAACTAAGCTCTAACCCTGCTCAAAGTTGTTGTTTTGTATTTTTTTATTGTTTTAAGAGTTTATTTTCGTAAATTTAAAGATTATTATGTATGTAATGTACATTAAATGTGTAATTGGTTGCATACTATATTATTATAGGCGCTATTAACGGTAAATCAAACTCTAACATAACTTTTAGTCATTTTTTATTGTTTTAAAAGTCTTTCTTAGTAAATTTAAAGATAAATTGAATCATTTACAAGTAAATTTTCACCAAACAATAAAACACAGTTAAACTTGTCAATTGGATTGCAAACTTTTTGTGTTATCAGCAGAAAATGTACCACTGGACATTGTTCCAAGTTTAATAATGCAATCCCGGCAAAAGATAGAGAAAAACCCCAGCACATATTTTCAATTTTCCATTCACGTTTCCTCCCTTTCAACTGTTAAGTGTAATCTAATTCTAAAACAGTTTTTGCTGTCATGATACTGACGAGCCATACATCCCTCCCGGGTGGATAGCAATTTAGCAGGTAGTATACCGCCCGCAGAGAATGCTCTCCTGCTAAAACAGCAGGCCCACTAACGAGCGAGTCCATTGTACACATATTTTTAGAAGGCGCTGGCGTTCGTGGGCGAAACTTGGTTAGCTTCGCCAGCCCGCCGGGGCTTTTAATAAACATTAATTGTTCGCCCCGGTCGTCGGTCGTGTTTTTCCGGTCGGCTGGCTGTGGATCGAGCCGAAGAAGAGTCTAATATTAACGACACGATATCTCTATTGAACCCATGTTTCTATTAAGTGTACAAGGCGGCCGTCTATCGCTCCAACACCCCTGCGGATTGTGGTGTTGGAATAATCCATATTGTATAAATATATTCATTCGCAGCATGAGATGACAGCAAACACGACGGATATTGTGACAATATTAACACTGGAGTAAAATTTTTAGATTTTTTTATTTTATAATAAAAAAATAATTGTTTTTAATCAAACAACATCATACATGATAAAACAGATGTTAAATCAATAAATTTATTCATTTGGTAACTGGTTCATGCTTCATGGTAATCGAAGTCAATATTTATTTGGAAAATTATTATCGATTATTCGCCGTAGCGAAAAGTCAACCTTGGAGCCAAGTCAAAATAGATGTTTGGCGGCGTATGCGTGTATTTGTACATGTGTGTCAGTTAAATAATGAACGAGCTGCCCTCGTTTCAACTCGCGAATTGTGAAGTTCCGCCGCAATGGGCCGCGTGGCAGCAAATATGCCGCATGGGATTTATGCAAATAATCCCCGCCACATCGCGCCTACCCTCGCTCGCCGAGTGTGCATAAAGTTTAACCAGCTAATTACATGTGTTCTTAATGTGTACATAATATCGCTTGCTATACGCGAATTGAATGTAATTTATGTACACATATGTTAATATGAATGCAGTCGCACATCATTTACTACAATGTCCATAATTCCATGGGCATCATTAATTACAATTTCCACTAACTAACAACAACATTCACATTTAGTAACATTATTAGTATTAATATTGATAGTGTTTACATTATGGCGCAAATGGGAAATTTTCTACTCTATTAACTTAACTATTTGAAAATTGAATTTAATTTATTTATGTTGTTTACATGTTAAACATTTTTTTAATAAACACTGATAATAAAAATTATAGTGTTATCTATGCTCTCAGGGTGGTAAAGGTAAAGCAATTGCATTTAGTAACTACGAAGAATATTGTTGTTGAGGTTAAACCAGGACATCACCTTCATCTATGCAACATAATCAACTATGTAGATGTTAACCGCATAGAATCTATAGGCAATTTCCGTGAATTTCGCACACTAGGCAACCCAATATACCTACGAGTTTACTACTGTTAATATGTTCATCCTATCATTTGTGGCGGGTGCGCCCGTGGCACCTCGCCAAATAGTACAACTTTTACAATG